TAACTAGCCATTTAATTAAAACCCGTTTGATTAATTGAAAACAACAATGAGATTTTCTATCCCAACTACATACTTTTTTTATATATTTGGAGGTCCTGGGACCCCTTGAAGCATCCAATCTTGTTGCATGCAATCCAGGCGCATAACAAATGGTAGTAGAGCCTGCATTCTTGGCTTGTTGTTGATAAGTGATAACCCATCTTTGCATCCGATCAAATGCAAAACTGACCACCATCTTCCATATCTTTCTCCTCCATCTCTGGATTCCACCTCACCACCATTCATTTTTCTCGTCCACCAAAAAAAAAATTGAGCAGGGCATTATACGGCTTGAAGTTGCAATGGACTCCTTGAGGATCAAACAAGAGCAAATGATGAAGGAAATGCAGAGGGTATTCTCACTCACATATGAAGGCACATTTTGATCTTCTAGCTGAAAAGATGGGTCATCTTTCTACAAGTAGGTCCATCCATCAAATCTAAGAATGCAGGTCCAACCAAACTAATCAGACAATGCCAACAGGGCCGCCAATTGTAGAGAAAGATGAGCTAATCATGGAGGAAAATAGGCTGATTAAAGGGAAGGAAGAAGAAGATTCAAAGCCCAAGAATCCAAACTGCAAGCCTAGCATGAAGCCTATTAAGGATGATGAACTGATGAGGAGGAAGATTTAAAGGCTAAAATAAAGAAGTTTCACAGCCTGAAGATCCAAGCCACAAGCCTAGGAAATCCAAGATGAAGAGAAAAATCAATGGAGCTGTGAAATATATGAGCCCACATCTAATTGTCCTCTACCCATGGTTGTTACATCTATGTACATTAGCCTTGAAGGCAAGGTTCATCTTATGGGGGAAGGAATGTTACAGCTTATGGGTCTCCAAATTTAGAAGTATCAAATAATTTGGGCAGGTAGGTGGGCCCGTCTAGTTGGTTAGGTGCAGTTTTGCTAAGTTAGAAGTGTAAGGGACAATGGGTTTATTGGGATATGGGTCTCTTAGAGTCAGTTACTAATTGGTTGCTACTTTGTAGCAAGGTTCAAAATATCAACACATATCGGGCCATATTGGGAGCTTCCCAATACACCCCTACAGAGGGTGTATAGGGGTTTCAACTGGTTCGGGGGGTGGACAGACCTCAAACCAGCCCCTCTGAACCAGATTTAAAAAAAAAATAAAAAAATAAAAAAAAAGCTATCAACACTGTCCATTATGCCTCTACCGGTGTATCGAGCGTATTGATATTTTGAACCTTGCTTTGTAGGGTTGTGGAGTTTGGGTGTAACTAGATATTTGGTTAATGAAAACAACAACAAGATATTCTACCCCAACTATACTACATATGTTTTTTATGTATTTCGAGGTCCTGGGATCCCTTGAAGCATTGCATCTTATTATGTGCGATCCAAGCACAAACAGGTTAGCATTAGAAAACATAAGAGAGATTCTCTTTGGATAATTCTATTTTAAGCAATCTAAGCTATCGATCACTGATCAGGTTTCCTAGATTCACTTGCATCACATGAAGAATTTAGGACAATGCTTTGCAGATTACGATAATCCTCCCACTTTTTTCCTACAGTACTAACCAAACACCAATAACAATATGATGAAAATAGATGTGTGTGTGTGGGTGTGTGTGTGTGTGTATGAGAGAGAGAGACCAATCAATACAAGCAAGCTATACAGAAGGTAAATGCACTGCTGTCCTCTCTTTACCCTTCAATTTTGTTAGCCTTACTTGCTTTTCTAGTTAGAACAGTTACCTTGTTTTCAATCCCTATTGTCTAGTCCATGTGCCTGTTATGTTTAATCAAGTAAGAATAAGTGTCCAGATTAGTGCCTCAGAAATTTCAGGAAAAAAGGGCAACTTCAAGTACCACTGTTCCAATAAAAAAGACAAAAGGAAATAAAAAACTTTCTACTCTCTAGTACCATTGGTATCTCTATCAAAACATTTACAAACAACGTTAAAGAGTGACTCTTTCTCAGGTGCATAAAAACAGGAAAGAAGGCCATACCCACCTACTTGATAAAAAACAATTCAATCAAGTATCACCGAGCTTATCCATTGGTTAATTCTAGTTTAATTTCGGGACAAGGCACATTTAAGTATGCAATTTTTTTTATAGATGGCACATTTAAGTATGCATTGAACACAGATTAGTGAAATGGAGGCTTCCTCCCTGAAACGGGCAGAATAAAATTAAATTTTAATAGGTGCAGCCAAGGCAACCTGGATGCATATGGAAAAGGAGGGGCATGAGATGACAGAGGCAGTAGGATATGCTAACTCATTGAGGACTGAACTTTTGACTGTAATTCAAGGACTAAAGTTAGCAGCTATAAATAATTGGAGAAATCTGATCATAAAGGGGGATTGCCAAGTTGTCATCCATTGGTTGTGTACAGAAGAGATCCCTTGGATTTTCCAGTTTCTTGTTAAAGAAGCAAAAGAAATAGGAAGAATCCTGAACTGCTCATTCAGATGGGTTCAAAGGATTGCCAATTGCCTGGCTATGAACAATATAGAAAAAATTGCGGTGACAAGACAGAGTCTTCATTGGGAATTCCTGGACCTGGGAGTGCTTATAAAATTGTAGACAGAAACTTTTACATGTATGGCCAGCTATTAGATGATTGTAATTTTATTTGGATAGCAAGGTTTTTCTTGCCGATGAATGTAAGTACATTCTGTTGATTATGGAAAACATGAATAAGTAGGTAATCTTGTGGTTTGGCATATAAGAGAGAAAGTGCATAACTCCTTTCCTCTCCCATAATAAATGTCAATGCCCATTGCAAGCACTAGATGAATTTGTTCTTCATTGAATCATAAATATCAAAAGAGTTCTCATAAAATATTGTACGTCTGTACATCGGAACACATGGGCTTCAACCCATGAAGCCCCAAAAATGTTACTGCACAGATTAGCAACCAACTGGATTGAGGACCAACCACTCTCCCTTTGATTTTACAAATGACTTGGAGAAACACCAGCTCTGTTATCATTCACACAAACAAACAGAGATAGGGAGGGGGGATAGATATGGAACTCGGTGCCACTTCAGAGTCCCTTACGATAATTGGATATAGAGCTGTAATCAAGTTGAACTAGGAGGTTTCAGATTTAATCCAAGTCCAACTTATTATGCCTAAAATGAAGAAAAAAAAATAACAAGTTTTTAGAAAAATATATATCTTATGGTGGGGTTAAGATAAATATCCCAGGTTTTACCCCCTCAATGGCTTCCATATCCTTCCCAGGCCTTACCTTAGCCAACTCCTTCCCTCGCCTATTCAGCCTTACCTTAAATCAAGAAGCTTCCATATCCCAGGTTTTACCCCCCCCCTTTCAATTGGAATCTAACTCTTAGGAGACCACTAAGGGACCTGGAACTTAGTGAAATTACTAGCTTCTTGCACACCCTGAGAGAGGTATACCTCTCCCAAAATTCCCCTGACCTTTGTGTGTGGACCCTTCACCCTTCTGGTAAGTTTTCAACCAAATCTTGCTTCAAGGCTTTAGTTAGGGAAGAACAAACTACTGGTCAGTACCCCTACAAGAGAATTTGGTGTGCTCATATCCCTTCCAGGGTCTGTTTTTTTGTGTGGGAGGCCAGCTTAAAGAAAAATCAACGCTTATGATCTTCAGAAAAAGAACCATGGAAGGTCTTATCTATCTCCTCATGTCTGTTGTTTCTGCCTTAAAGCCGGGGAATCTACCAACCACATCCTGATTCACTGTGAGGAAACTAGAAAATTTTGGAACGTTTTTCTAATATTATTTGAAAACGGTTGGGTTTTCCCAGAAAATGTGGTTGAATGCTTAGGGCAATGGTCAGGAAGAGGATTAAGCAAAAGAGGGATAACTTTATGGCAATCTGTTGCACATGCTATTTTCTGGAGCATTTGGGAAGAGAGAAACAACCGGGTGTTTACCAACAGAACAAAAATCTATGAGGAGCTGATTTCTCTAATCTGTTACAGATGCTTCCTGTGGACTTCCAGCTCAATTTATTTCAGAGGTGACATATTTGATGACCTCCAAAGAAACGCCATAAATTTTCTTCACTCTAATCACATACACCTCAACACTTCCTGCAGTTTCAGATCTGAGGAGGAAGGGGAGACGACCTTGTACTTTGATGGAGTGCTTTTAGAAACCCAGGTGCAGCCTCCTCAACAAAGGCCGAAGTCATGGCAGTTTTAACCGGCATCAGGATTGCAGAAGACATGGGTTTATTAAACCTTACCATTAAAGGAGATTCAGCCAACACCATCAATTGGTTTCTAATCCTGACAGTGTCGTTGGGCCTTAGCTCACTACCTGGCTGAAGCGAGAGACATCCTCTCCTCCTTGAGTGCTCACGTGGTCTGGATTCCGAGGGAGCTAAACTCTGAAGCTGACAGACTAGCTAAATCTGGCGCTTACAGGGATTACTTATTTAGTGATAGTTTTCTGCTTATGTAACTTTTTGAGTGTCTACTCTTTTTATCGAATAAAGTTAACCTTTTTTTCAAAAAAAATATAAATATAAAATATTCAATTTATTAGTTATATACGTTATATGATTGTATATAAAATAATAATATTTAATCAGACTCAAATTTTAACCAGATCGGATGTCAAATTGAGCATCAGACTTTCGGAACTTGTTGACAGACCTAGTTGAATCTACCATCACATGATTGGACAAGACCAACAATTTATAAAAATGTAAATATAACCAGCAAATGATTAAGAGTTAAGTTTTTATCTTAAGGATTTCAATTTCTTAGAACAAGGATAACATTAATCAATGATATGAAGAAAAGAAGAGTTTAAGAATTTCAGCAATGTTAGATTCTGTCAGCACTAACAGATTGCTTCACAATAAGGGATGGATATAGAAATGAAACTTAAATGCAAACAAATGCCAATCTTTTTCTGACAATTATATAAAAGGGAAGTAAAAGAATATGTTTCAGAAGTTACACATTCCTTCCATTAATACATTACCTTGAAAAGACCACCTTGAACAAGTGCAAAGAAAACCCCCGATGTGATTGCATTTGCTGCCTGATTTGGGCCCCCCATGCCGCTGACCAGTGAAAACATGGCTCCAGAACCAAAAGCAGCCACCATGCTGCAAGAAGAATCCTTAGCACTCACCTTGTAATTTAAATTCATGAATTGATAACAGAGAATATAATAAACCAACCAAATAATTTTGAGGAGTTAATTTGGGATCAAACCCAGTGCTGGATGGCTACAACACCAACCACCATCCAATTGAACTTTGCATCTTGTATTCCTTTGTAGGAAAACTTTACTTCTGCATTAACATTCAAATTATAAACAACTTATACACAGAACTGGACGATTTTGTTCTACAATATTTCATATATTAGGGTTTTTACAGTGACATCCTTCCAAGTATATCTCTGTCATCAGGACTGCTTCCACACTAAATTAAGTAAACGATAATTTCAGATTTTGCTTGTATAGTAGCTGTCTAGCTGAAGATTGCTGGTCGTCCAATATATTGCCCTCTTCCTCTCTCATCTTGACCAAAATGTTGGTCAAGATGCATATAAGATGGTACTCATTTGCTTCTCACTCTCTTTGCCCACCAATACTAAATTTCTTTTAGAAAACAATACTAGAATTTTGTTCTATTCTGTCAATGAACAAGATCCAAGAACGTCTTCAGTGGAATTACATTTGATGATTAAATTTCCGGCCAGGTTTTTCTCTTGTTGCCTAACCAATATGAATTTTTCCTCCTTATGAATGGATCCAGTAGGCATATTCTTGGGCTGCAAGCTCATTATATATAATGTGTTACTAGTGGTACAAAGTACAATACAAATTACTTGACAACCTTCTATCCGTTCTAAAATTGAAGTCCCAGTACATCTCTGTAATTGAAAATTTAAAGTAACACAAAAGAAAAAAAAAAATTGATTACAAACCGTAGTAAAATATAACATAAATCCAAACAAATGAAAATTGAGTAGGAAATTTAAAAATAAAAACAAAAGAATAATCACCCAGAAAATTTAGTTGGACTTACCTAGTCTGAACATCCTCTTTCCCTCTAAGTCTTTTCATGACGCAAGATATGCCGGCATTGACACCGGTCATGACTGCAAAGTTACGGGCTTGCACCAAGGGGCCTCCAGAAAGAGCCTGTGGTAAAAGCAAGCAATTATAATCAGAAGCAGTCAAAATTGACAATATCGTTAGGTCCCTCTCTTAAGAGTGATTAATTAGTTAAGTGCAAGTTAATTACAATTAGATAGTACACATTCATGCCGAGACTACGCCTGAGACGGGTTGCATAAATAAGAATGAACAGAACACCGAAAGGCATCAAATAATCCAGAGTGTTTAACCCCTCCCCACTCTTCCAACCGTAAGTCAAAAGTTCAGTCCATATTTATCATATTTCTGGAAAATTTAGATATCAACGAGGAAGATAATCACCCAATTTCCCACAAACACAAGGATTAGCATTATGAAACCCATGACCTAACAATTTAGAACTGTACCAACGTAAATAAATTGAATATGACCTGGCAATCCAAACAAACTCGTCAAAATGACACAAAAAAATAGCAACAGAAAAACCAGGCACACCTCTTATCGAAACAAAACCTAGTGTTATCCAATCCAAAGACCAAACAAACCCCGGTCTCAGAGTGAGCTCCAACTCCCTTCATTGTGTATTTACCGGGAGGATAATTTTCAAGAAATTAATTAAAACACTAAAAAGAAATGATAAACAGATGAAAGAAGGGGTTGGGACCTGGGCTTGCTTGAGGGAAGCCATGGCTTGAGGGTTGAGAGGAGCTTGAGGAGGAGTGGGAAACGAAGAAGAGATATCGTTGGTGAGGGTACCCATGAAGGCACCAATAGCAGCCCCTTGAACTGCGCTGGTAGCGGTGACAACGGCGGCCTCCACCGGCAAAGACTGTTTAGAAAGCCAAGAGCGGAACCCAACCTCCAAGTCCCTGAATCGGGCCTGCAGTTGGACTATCGGGTTCTGAGGAGGCATTCCCTTAGACACCTCCACCACTCCCTGTCTCCCATCCATGCTGCTTCTTCTTCTTCTTTTTCTTCTGCTTCAGCTGTGGTCTTATAATTACTATCAGTAATCCGAGAAGAAACTATCGCCGTTGCTCCTCAGCTGCTGCTGCTGCTTCTTCTTCGGGTTAAATAAGAGCGAGAGACGCGGATAACAAAATAACAAATATTTAGAAAGGGTTTTAATACATACTCTTGGGTTGGAAAATGAAAATCCCTCCAAGCGAAATTACCAGAAAGGGTACAACTAATATGAAAATTGACTTCGGAGGCAGAATTGTGAGTCGCGTTATCTTTTCACCGATCACTATTCTGGTTAAATAGGTCGGCTTTGGTTTCGGACAGGGTGGACCAGTTCCGAGACCACAACCAAAACAATTATTAATCGATCATACTTGACAACCTTAATATAAATCATTTTCCCAGTTTTTTTGGTAATGAAAATTTTACCTATAAAATTTTATTATGTGTTTGATTTTGTGGGTATTATAGATGGGTATTTATTGTTTTAAATGTTTATTTGAAAAATTTTACTTTAAAAGTTTTTTGTTTGTGTTATTTGGTTGGGTATTACTTTAAACATTTTTTATTTTTCATCTTAGACTAACACCCCATAAAGTACGCCACATAAGTATTTTATTTCAAGAAACATTTGGGTGTTGGGGGAAACAAGAATTTGACATTTTTCCAAATGCCTCGTGCACATAAATCTAAGCGTTTATGTTGTTTAATATTTATTTGATAAATACTGAAACCAAATAGTGGTTTCATGCACAACAAATGCCAACGCCTATGTGGCATTGGTGTAGTGGTATTTTTTCAATAAACACCCACGGAACCAACATAGTCATAAATTGTTTACATGTTAGTAAAACAAATATTTTTTAAACTAAAATTATAGTATATGTTAGGGAAAATTATAGTTTGAACCGACTCAGAATTTAAAATTAGATTGCAAGTTGGTTTAGAAACCAACAAAACTCTAGCATCCAGCTCTACATTTCGAATTATAAACACCCCACCATGTCATCATAGGCTTATGTGGCTATTACCAACATGGGAGTCATAATCTATGTTGGACACAACTGAAATTGCCCTTAATGTTGGGTGATTTGAAAATAAACAAGAAGGATTTTCAATTTCTCTCCCAATCCCTTTGTTTCTCGATCTCCCTTCCACTCTCTCACTCTCGTAGTCGTTTCCTTCCTCTGTCTCTCCCACTATCTCAACTTCGGTTTGCAACTAAACCAAAACCTCTCTCTCTCTCTCTCTCTCTCTATGTGTGTGTGTGTGAGTGTGTGCGTGCCAATCTATTGTTCTCTCTCAATCTCTCTCATTCTCTTTCTCGGTTGATCTCTCAATTTCCATCAATCTTTCTCTTGGTCCCTCTTTTTTTCATTTTTTTATTTTTACAAACTTATACAGTATTAATTAGATCATATAAAAGAACATAAAACCAACTTGGTATGGTTCTAAAATCATTACAGCAAGTTGGTTTAAAAGTTTCTTGTAAATTTTTGTCAAATTTGTATAATGATTTGTGAATTTTATTAAAGTGGTCTTATGTTTATTTATACGGTTTGATTAATACCATATAAATTATTAAGTTAGTCAAGGAACTAGCCACTTATACAATCAAGTTATAAATTTTTATCAAGTTGGTGTAAATTGCATAGCCACAAGTTTCTTATGAAATTTTATCAAATTGGTGTAAGGATTTTAGAACCATACCAAGTTGGTATCATGTTTTTTCTCTACGGTTTGATTAATACAATACAAGTGTATAAGAAAATTTAAAAAAAAACAAAAAAGAACAAGAGAAGGAGCAAGAGAGATTAAGGGAAAACGATAGAGATTGAGGGAGAATGAGAGATTGACTAAGAAAGAGAATTAGAGAGAATAAGGGAGAAGGATAGATTGACACACACCCACACACACACAAGCATGCACACACGCACGCACACATTGATAGAGAGAGAGAGAGAGAGATTGACAAAGAGAATGTACATATAGAAATCAAAAACCTTTTTTGTTTATTTTCAAATCACATTGTCATTGAGTAGAGAGAGACGACCATAAGAGTGAGATAGATAGATAGAGAGAGATGAGGGAGTAGGAGAAAAACTAAAAACCTTTTTTTTCAAGTCACCTAGCATTAAGGGCAATTTCAGTATAGCATTTTGTTGTATTCAACATGGATTAAGAGTCTCATGTTGGCACCAGCCACATAGGCCTTCAATGACATGACGGGATTTTCATAATTTAAAATGTGGAATCGGTTGTCAGAGTTTTATTAGTTTCAAGACCAACCTACAACCTAATTTTAAATGTACAGCCAGTTTTGACTATAATTTTTCTATATTTTATGAAATTTATCCTTTTAACATGAAAAAAAACAAAAATTACAAGAAAACCGGAGGACCTTCATGTATTATTGACTACATAATTGGTTCAGGTTTTAATCGATTTGAAACAAGAAGAATCAGCCCCGACCCAATTATAAATCAGGACAAGCTACAATAAGTTTAACCAAAACCAATATGATGATATGATCATTTCAGTTCATATGAACCCTAATACCCAATCCATTGACAGATCAAATCATGCTTCCACAAACACCCTCCGAGTGACAAATCTCACGTTCATTTCCCTTACTCATTCCTCTCTCAAGTCTCAAAATTCAAAATAATTGCTTCTACACCATAAGTAAACAAGGTAGTATGTGAAATACTATCTCAAGAAAGATATTAGCTTTAGGGATTGTGTGTATTAGCACTCAGCTCTTTAACCCTTAAAAGTAATTATTTGGAGGGTTGCCCTTATAAAAAGAAAACAAAATATACAATGGTGAAAATGGGAAAAAAAATAAAACTTTTGCAACCAAATTAACATTGATTTTAAAATCACCAACAAAAGAACCAATCCAGCACAATTCTATCCACATCCCTCTTTGATATTTTCTTAAATATTATTGTCTTGGGAAACACATCTAAATGGAATTATCCCATTTTGATAATTCCCCATGCATGCTCCACACTTCAAAGCATATCTTTATAGGATGGATTAGGCTCTTTTCCTTAGATGACTTACTACTCATAAAGGAGAGATTATATAGTGTGGCAAATCCAGACCATCCATTAGAATTAATCATTCTTGAATTTAAGTAGGGGAGGGAACTTTTGGATTCGACATTCTTTTCTAAATCAAGAAATGCCCCAATAAAAGCAAATTTTGAAAAAGTAGGGAGTGTTTTTGAGCTAAGTTACTTAAACTTGCAGCTAAGGCTCAGTTTGGAAGCAGTATAAATGCAAATATGTACAGCGTAAATACATACAAAATAATATAAAATATAAGGTTTTGCATTCTACATATTTGTATTTATACTCCTTCCAAACTCAGTTTAAGGTTCAGTTTGAAAGGAAAACAAATACAAATATGTAGAGTGCAAAACTAAGTATTTTTGTATTATTTTGTATGTAATTGCATTGCACAAAAACACAAAGCTCAAAACTCTATTCGAGCTTGATTGAGTTTCATGTTTTTGGCTTGAACTCAACTCGATTCAGTACTCGCAAGCTACTCGAGCCAATTATAAATAAATTAATATTAAGCATATTAAAAATTATAGATGAAATAATATATATAATAAATACTATAAATAAAATATGTTATGAAAATAAATTATAAATCTATTTATTTATATTATGAGTTCAATTAGGCTTGTGAATCATTCAAACTAGGTATTGCAAAGCTCGAACTCGTCTCGACCAACTAATCAAATATTTAACTAGCAAGCCAAGCTCAAATAACTCGTGTCGGCTTACTTACACCGAAATCCCATGAAATAAATGTGTTAGAGAAATAAAATTAAAAGACATGTTTCCACATTGTAGTGTTTGTCTATTTGCTGCTCAATAGTGAGGTGTACCTCTGATGGTTTATGCCAAATTTATCATTACTTCCATACCAGAATGGGCGTTGAGTTTTGTATATATGAATCCTCTATATAATGACAGAATTGTGGAGAGAATTGATATTGCCATAAAAATGTAAAATAGTCCTTTTTCTTTGGCATTCCAAACGTAATTTTGTTCAAACCAATTAACAAAGATTTCTAACTAAACGCAGCAAAAGAACGATAGGAAAATGAGAGAACAATGGAAATCTCTAAGTTTCCTTGGGTTATTCATGGTTCTGGTAACATCTATAAAAGAAGCCAAAAATGATATTATAGAGTCGGACTAATCCAATTTCTCAACGATTTATCTTTGGTTTTTTCACAATCAACACAGTACAGTGAACATGGTGAGTACAATAGTCACTCACACTCCCCAGAATAGCCCTGTCAGAGAGAAACTTTCAATCAATTAGGCTCCGGCTTGTAATAACATCAGATCACTTAGTTAGAATTTAGAAACAGTGATTATTTAAAAATAAGTCATCAATGAGCGTTTGGTGATGAAAAGGCACTTTTTTCTTTTTAAATAGGAGTAGTATAAGTATTTTCAAAATGATATAAGGGAATAAGATAGGCAAAAAGCACCGGTTGCACCTTCTTTTAGGATATGAGAATGATCCGTTTTGTTTTCCAAACGTAAATAAGTGCTTATTGGTATGGTGCTAACCTAAAACAAGTAGGTATTCCTGATATAGGCGCATATGGCTAGGCCCAGAATTGTGCCATGTGGCATCAGCCGGATGAGATTTTGGCCGTCCATTCCCAACAACCTTTAACCATTTCATGGCAAGGTCAAATATAAAAGGGGTGCCCAGCTCTTGAGCCCTCGTCTCAAGCTTGATTCGACTCTTCTCCTATACTTGACTAACTTGACCATTGGAGTCTCCGCCCCTGGAATAACACCCAAGGCTTCTGACATGTACTCTCTTATTCTCAGGTTGGATTCATAGGCCTTGGCCAAGAAAACAAAGTTACCTTGTTGTCTTCGGCCCCATCATTGGCAGCAACAACTCCCAAACGGGATATATGACTCAGAGTTCAGGGTCAGTGGTGTAGTACTGAGAGATGGGAACGCTGCTTATTTAATTCCATGGCCAGGGGCATAAACATGGCACCCCAAATGAGTAGTAGACACGTCAATTCAGATGTTGGGATCAACATCAACATGCATGAAAGCTTAATTATGAGAAGGCCCAAGAAGGTAATTAACACAGGAATGCAATGGAGATGCTCCATTAATCCTAAAACTCCATTTCTATCTCATTTCCTAAAAAATGGTGCAATCAGCAGAGAGAAAGAAGGATAGAAGAAGAAAATTGTATACCTTTTGATGGCACCATAGCCATGGCTGCCCACCACTAAAATATCTGCCCTGTGATTCTCCACAGCCTCACACAGCACATTTCTTGGATCCCCTTCGCATACTTCCACTTGGAAATCGGAAATCTTTAGCCAAAAAAAACTCAAAACGATTAAACAGAAAGACAGACACTCAGACAGAGAGAGAGAGAGAGAGTATCAACTATCAACTATCAACAACAGCACTTACTGATCTGTTCTTGCAAAGCTTGTGGGCCTTGTCTACAATCCGTGATGCAGTTTTCTTGAGATCAGCTTCCACCTGAGGAAGAATGTCCCCTGCCCTTATTGATATTGGGAAAAAGAAAAGAAAATAAAATAAAAATTGATTAAGTTGGTTAATCAGATAAAAAAATATATTAGGTAGAAACCAGGGTTAATTATTACCAGGTCCAGAGAAGTGGATGACAGAGAGAGCTGAGATCTTTGCATGGATGATAATAAGCTTGAAGAGATTATTGTTGGTGGTAGAGAGAGGAGTGAGCAGATGGTCGAGGGTCCACTCCAAAGAGTAAAAGCTCTCCTGACTGTCATCCACGCCAACCACAATAACTTTCTTGTTGGACGCCATTAGTGATTCTCCCGCTTCTTGTCTTATTGACCACCACTCCACCCACCCACTTCTCCGCTGTGAGATCAATCGATGCTCCTCTCAGAGCTAGCTCCTGCTGTAGTGGTTTTATATTCCCCGTTGAAATCTTCTGATATCTGCTGCATATATAACTGCATTTGAGAGAGAGATACAGAAACGGTTATTCCGGAGAGATGTGGCTCTCCTTCAGTTACGTTTTTGGTTTTGCTGCAATTCCCACTTTCTACTGTGGCTTTGCTTCTTTTTTGGGTAGCACTCACTAAGCAGAAGAACAGGCAGAAGGGATTTGCTGCACTTGTTTGGGTTGGGCTAAATTTGTGTTCATCACTTGCATTAAGCCTTTGACAGTGTCCTACTATACGTGTCTAAACACCATTTGCACACATGCAATGAAATACTTGTCACATACATGACAACTTCTTCAGCCCAGACAAGTGTAGCAACCGCCCAACTAGTGATGGTTCAGTTGGTAGGATCTCTCATTCATTGTAGCAGAGACCTCTCATCATAGCCATTAATTGCAGGCACCCCAGATCTCTGCTTCTCATGTGGGTGGTGATGTGGGAATAGCAATCTGTGGGTAGCAGATCTAAACCCAATTAGGGTGTAAGGGTGTAAATGGATTGAATTCGGATCAAATCAAATAATATCAAAATTAAAATCTGATTAAAAATTTCGATATCTGAATTTGATTTGATATCTAATAGATATTGAAAATTAATGTTTAAATATCTAAATTTAAATATTTTATATAAGAATTAAATAATTGATCAAATTTAAATATTTATCAAATCAAATTAGGTCATATCCGAATTTGATTCGATTATGTTGAATCTTGAATTCAAAATCAGATTCTGAATAATGTTGACATCCCTATCCAACAGTTGTATGCCCCCAAGTGCAGCAGCCAGGTTTTAAAACGTTGGAACACTAGTTCAAAGAATTATTGTTTGAAGAATGAATATTGAGGTAGAGTGTTTTTTAGCTAAATTTCTTAATTCCAAAAAACCAGGTTTTAAAATGAGTTTTAATCCCAAAATTTATCAGAATTAATTTTCTGAAAAAATGTCAAACACATCCTTTCCTCGAATTCGCATGTGCACCCCACAAAACATCCCAACTGTGTATTGGAAAAATCTGCCAATAACAATTATGAAAGATATTCCAAATGAATGCTGAGATGTGCATGTGGGGCCCGCTCTGTGGGGTGCCAATGTGAATTCCCTTTCCTCCCTTTCATATAAAACAGCAAATCAATCAGCAGTCACCACCACTGCTAGATATTGCAATAACCAGCCACTTTTTTGGCTTTATGGGTTACATAAGCTTCCGCTACAACCACCAGATCTGATCCCAAGTCTACCACCGGATCTGTTCCGGTACAGAACAGAGGATGTGGAGATCACTTCGGTGGTTTGGAAAAAACAGCTTGGACTGTTTTGGGAGCTCTACAAATTATACTTCAGCTAATTCAGTCTTTATTTGTCTTTTCAATTAAAAAAGTATTAAGTATAAATACTATTTTACCCACACTCATTATCAAATGTCATTCACACAAGGTTCCCAAAACAACCCAGTGGGTAGGAATGGCAACGGGGTGGGTTCGGGGCGGGGATTACATTCCCCATCCCCGACCTTGACCCCCAAATCACCCCCATCCCTGTTTCCGATCCCCAGCAGAGAAAGGAGTCCCCCCTCCATCCCCGTCGGAGGCCCGAATCCCCAACAAGATATGTATGCACACTGAGAGTCTGAGACTGAGAGATTGAGACTGAGAGAGAGAAAGAGAGAGAGAGAGAAGGGACCGTTGCGAGAGTTGAGATCGGCAACGAGAGAGAGTCCGACGGGCGACGGCGGTCGGCAACTCAGCGATGGCAGTCGGCGACTCGGCGACGATAGACGAAGGTTGAAGCAACGATAAACGGCGAGTGGTGACAATGACTCTTCTTTGAGTAGCTCTTCTCTATCACTCAAGTATCTCTATCCTTTGTCCGATGCCCGACAGGCGAGTGGCGACAGCGATGAGACGACGGTCGGCGAATCGGCGACCAACGAAGGAATAGTGGAAGATGAAGGTTCAGAGATAGAGCTCTCTCTTCTCTCTGTCGAAGTGTTTTGTGTTTTACTATTTTAAGTTTTAGTCTTTAAAAAAACGAATAATAATTATTATACTTATATGATGTATAATATTATATATAATATAATATATATTAATCGGGGACGAGTCGGGGCGGGGATTGCATTCCCCGTCCCTAATCGAGGATTCAAGGGTAGACCCATCCCCATCCCCGACCCTATCGGGTCGGGGAGCCCAGGTACCCATTGGGGACGGGGAAAATTGCCACCCCTACCAGTGGGGGGGTTGTAGAAAGTTTCTTCAGTGGGGGGAAATTGCAAAAAATCATTGACACCCCATTTTACCCTAAGGAGTGCAATATATCTTGGTTGTAATTGGGTTATCCCACAGGGAAATTTTCTTCTAAAAATGCTTATATTCGTGCAACTCAGCCTTTTTTATTCTCATCCCGAAAAAGGAAATGGCTCAAAAAAATCTGGAAACTTCCTCTCCCAACTAAATATTGGTTACTCTTTTGGAGAGTGGTGAACAATTATTTCCCAATTAAAGAGACTATTCAATCAAGGGCAAGACAGTCTATGTACTCTTTGTAACCAAGAATCTGACAGTCTATGTACTCTTTGTAACCAAGAATCTGAATCAATATCACATCTCTTCTGCCATTGTGACTTTGCGAAAGCAATTCTATTTGCGCCCATCTTTGGAACCAAGGTTCTAAATATCAATAATACTGATACGCCGATAGGGGCGTATCGGGCAGTATCGGTCCTTTTTTTTATTTTTTTCAAAACCGATTCAGGAGGGCCAGTTTAAGGCTCCTCCACCCCTTGAACCAGTCAAAACCCCGATACACCCTCTATAAAGATGTATTAGTGCTCCCAATACAATATATATTGGCCGATACATATCGATACTTTGAACCTTGCTTGGAACATCTCATTTGATTCTTTATTTCAGCATTCCTGACTTCAATGCCTGGAGGCAATTCAATAGGCAACTCATGACAAAAATATTCCAAGATTGATAATGTGTTGGATATTCTAGCCTTATACTACATATGGATTGCCAAGAATGAGAAGTGCAACCTTAGTAGGCAAGGGCAAGGTCCCTCTCTTAAGGTATTGGAGGTAGAGGTAGGTCCTTTCCTCAACCAGATCCTTTAGGTATTGTAGGAGGAAAATCCCAAAGCCGGGATACCATTAAGGAAGTAGAGCTACAAACTATCTTTCAAGGAATCCAGCTAGTGAAGCAGAAGGATTTTTTTTTTAATAAATCTAGGAGGTGCTACACACAAGCCTCACATTCTAATATGCTCGGATTCCACGCAAGTAATTCAAGCACTTCAGGAGCAGGAGCATGAAAATCTCCCTTGGTCTTACCTCCGGCTTTTGATGAAGACCAAGAAACTTTTAGGAGCATTCGTTTTTTAGATTTTGAGAGGGGGGAAAGTTGGTCAATAGGATTTTGGTTTCCATTGACCAAGAATGGGTAAACAACTTTCCCACTTAGGAGGAAAGTTGCTAACACTTGAATGGAACAATAATGCCCCTTTTAATAATGGATTTTTATGACTAAAATGATCATTACCTTATTTACCTAAGAAATAAAAGAACATGAGTAAACACACTTACCCGGGTAAATGATAATCATTTCCTAGGTGGATAAATTTCCCACCTAGGAGAAAAGTTACTAACACTTGAATGGGACAAAACTGTCCCTTTTAATAATGGATTTTTATGACTAAAATGGCTATTACCTTATTTACCTGAGAAATGAAAAAACATGAATAAATACACTTACCCAAATAAATGCTTCCCAAGAAAAACTTATTACTTATCAAAAAACGAGTGGGGCCTTAAGTGAATTAGCTTCCTTCTCCTTTTGTTATATAAATAGATGTTTTAATACCCCGTCTCACTCTATAGCCCCAAAAGGCTAAAACTTTAAGAATGGACTTTGCTTTTTGGCACACTTACCCTACCGGGACTCACAATGTATAGGACTTGGTTAATATTGTGGTAGATGAATAGATATATTCTAGCTATCAAAGAAATAGAGTATCCGCTACAACCAGCCACAGATCTTACCAATTGAGCCAATTGGCACCTTCATGCTTCATGAATGATACATGAAACACTTGTTCTTGAAATATTTATGACTGATAGACCCTTCAGTTGCATTGAACACAAAGCCTGCAACCAAGATTAGAGGTACAGGGTCAAAATCTTTAAAGAACTTTCCTTTCCCGTAGAACAAGATGGAACAAACAGGAAACCCTTTGGACCTGATCACATCGCTTTGTCTAGTTATGTCGTGGAACTGACTGAAGCTTGGGTACATCATATAAGCACACAATATGGATCACTTGGCTGTTCCACTGGACTCAACCATCAAGAAATTGTGTAGATAGCCAAAACTTGTATTATCTGGACGTTACCCTTTTGCTACATAATAATTCATTTTTCTGGTTGAGGTTGAAATTAGGAATTCTCCCTACATGTATGCTGCAATCCTATAAACAACTTGCAGGAGCTGGTCCATAGTTTCTTCGCAAGTTCAGTGTCATAAGATAGTGCAGAGGAACTGACAGACCTACCTCTGCCTCCAAAAAAATACACTCCAGATGCTTCCTGAAATGAAACACAAATAGCTAGTAAGTTTATACATTATTCATCTACATGACATCATTGATGGCACCAATATAGGTTAGTATGCCATTACATGTTTCTTCCCAGGCCAACACACACATGGGGAGGAAGAGAGAGAGAGAGAAAGAGAGAGAGAGAGAGAGAGAGAGAGAGAGAGAGAGAGATTCCTCAAGGGCCAAGACAACATACCCTAGCAATATGGATTGCCCTTTAACGTCAGAGAAATTTGGAGATAGTAGCCACTAGACACCAATATTAAACTAAAGATACTTACTGGAGGGGCAAGGGCCGCATCGACAGTAGGCTCAACTCCACTTTCAGGTGAGTGTAAGAAACCCAGAACTTTCAGAACAACTAAGGCCAAATGAGAGAGTTGAGAAGGAATTTCTCGCATAATTTTTGTTTCTACTGCCCCAGGATCTACAGCACTGCAAGATAAAGAAATTCAACCAAAACAAACATATTTCTACTAATACCAAGTGAGTCTTTTCTTGGAAGGATCAATCTGTCAAAATTACTTCCTCATGAATCAGTGATTTTCAGGGGTTTGGAGACTCACAAATTTCTCCAAGAAAACATGTTTGGTAGAAATAATGCTGGCAAAACAATTTCTCCAAAAATCATCCAACAGTTGCAACCAAGGTTCAAAGTATCAATATGATACGCCCTATATCGAGCATATCGTATCTTTTCGTCACGATACACCTATTTACAGGTGTTTCAGGAAGCTGTTTCTTTTTAATAAAAGATATAGTTAAAAACATTACTAAAAACCAAATTTAAAAAAAAAACTAAAAAAACACAAAATCGTGTCGTTTTAAGTACCATTACGCCCCTGCCGGTACACGGGCGTATCGATACTTTGAACCATGGTTGCAACATCATTGGTAGTCACATGTTACTACCATGAAAATTGATTTAAAAAACACCTCCTGATTCACAAAGCCATCTCCCAAAGCTTCAGGCCTCATCCCAAATCATGAAAACCGGTACTAACCAATCCTCTACTAATTTTTGAGGAATTGGTCTACCAAATGGAATTTTTCACATGATCTGGGGAATCAGCTGACATGGTAATTTTACAATTCGGAATCAAGAAAATTGATTCCTACAACCAAACAACCCCCAAACCATTCGTATTAGTATAATAGTATCATATATGGTTAGTGTTTGTGAATCTTGGAAGATAAGCGTGTTTGTCTTCCACTTGTAAATTTTATACTGATGAATTAATGAAAGTGTTATTGATAAAAAAAAAAATAGTATCATATATGGTTAGTGTTATCAATTACATTATTTGAACATGTAGGGATGCCAAACCAGCACCAAATCTAATTCACAACAAAGAATGTAAAAAAATCACTAAAAAGCCTGAAATACATGATTGAAACCATGCAAACTACCACATCCTTTAGGATATTTGATGAACTTCTAGGATGGCCTAGAAACATGTCTATTAACTAGATGGTGATGTACCAGATTCAGGTAGATTTCTACCTGAGATTCATAGGTCATGGCACTCATGCACCCATTATTGGTCTCAGCTATTACTTTCTCACCACTTGCATAATGGACTTAGGATAATATGATTTCCAATAATCAGTTCATGAATTTTCTCAAAAGCATAATATTGCGAGTTTAGATCATCATATTTGGGGGGTAGGCCTTTGGCAGTCAAAATGTCTCATTCAGTTGGGTCCAAAGATTGCCAATTCCTTAGCTGATAGCCTGACCAGAACTGGAGGTGAAAGAAACAAGAGTAATAACGAGGATCTTCTATCCCAGCATAAATCTTAACTCTTTTCTTGGGCCTTGGGTTGTATTCACTTATACATACTTCATGTAGTTGCATTGATGTGTATGATCTGGACCATTGTTGTTTCCCATTCCTGAAGGGCTTTGCTGTATTTTTCTCTTTTTTAGATCAATTAACTTAAGTTTCTAATTAACAATCCAAATAAAACTAATAATAATTATAACATGTCAAGATTGTAAACACATACATGACGGAGACTGGATGAGATTTGTCCATCAAGTAAAGTTGGCGATGAAGCTCATAAGAGAACAGAAGTAAGCAGACTGTCATAAAAGAACCACATATTCTGATTAGAATGAAGAAAAAGGATAGAGTTCTGGAGACTGTACTTGCATTTATTCTTACAGCACATTTTACTTACTTTTGGAGTATTCATAAATATGAGCAAATGGGTACTGTTTTGATTTTGAGAAACATATTCCAGACAAAGATTCCTCGTCAACTTGTAAATCAAATACTGCAGCAGAAAGAAACAATGCATTTAAATTTTTGTTATCAATAAACAATGCATTTAAATATATATCAAAAAATATATTCAGATCTCCCACATGCATCACAATTCAGGCTTTTCTAGCTATATCAATGAAATAACAAAAATAAAATAAATAAAACATTTGTGAAAGATGAACCATGGAAATTGCTCTGATTGATGAATTTAGGTCCAAATAAGTGGAAGGAACTGGTGAGAGGAATCAATAAATTATTGTCCTTGACACATTGGGAAATTGGCAAGGGATAGGAACGGTTGTAGTGTGGCAATTCATGTTAACTATCTCTGTTTATGGATGATCTTGAAGACCTCCCACAAGTTGAGAACATTAACACGCAGCTGAAAGAAGTGCTCAACCACAAAGGAGAGTAGAATCTTCAAAATGGGGTAAACATCCTTCCTAGTTCCTAGTGATACAGTACATGCAACTCAGAATCCAAGAAACAAGTTATCCATTATCCAACTTCCATTGTTGTAAAACTTTGGCCTCGGTCTCAACCGATTTGGTGACCATTCCATTCAGATATCTTTCTAAACCCTTTCCCTCAACACAAAAGTCGAAGTGGAACTTCCACATCTCATAGTTCTGTCCATTCATCTTTACAAGAATGATATCACCTCTGTCTGAAGCCATTTCAGCAAGAGAATAGCACAAAATAGGGTTCGGTTGAAGTTTAAAGAAACTAAACTGAAGTAAAACTTGATCCAAAGACGAGTGAAATAGGCTGTAATAAATCCAAGAGAGTCAAAAAAACTAAAATAGAAACCCCTTACTTTCACCGGAGATTGTTCAAGATCCAAAACAAAGAAAAGTTGAACACACAATCTAGAAAAGGAAAGTTTGGGCGCAACCTCCAAGAAGAAGAGTCCACATCTCTCTCAAAACTTCACGGGTCTCCGTAAAAATTTCAGAATATGTTGAGAGGGGCTAGGCGACAACTCCTTTCAATTCTTGTTGCAAACGGAGGTCAGACGAGAGAGATCCAATAAAATCTCTCTCTCTCTGGATGCGCAGAAAACAAAAAAGGGGTTCCTGGAGAGATCAAAACAGTCCAGGACCACTCAGCAGAGATGTAGGTTCTCAATAGATCACGAAAACAAGGTGGATCAGAGAAAAGGAAGATCAAAGAGCAACCTGCTCTGATACCATGTGAACAAAATTCAGAGCAAGAAGAAAACAGATTTAGGGGTGTCAAGAGTAGTCGACCCCCACCCCAAAGAGTCTCTTTTATATTAAAGAGATAAAAGGTATGTACAGTTACAAGAATGCCCTTATAGGGCTAAAAGATAAAAAGAACAAATAAAATAATAGTAATTACAATACTAACAAGGACTACGCTAAATCAAGCTCATAATAAAAAAATTATATTTTTTAATATATGTATTTATAATATAAATAAACATTAAGTTTTTTATATTAACTTATTTATAATATAAATGAATACATTTATAATTGATTTTCAAAATATATTTTTATTTGTGATATTAATTTATTTATATTTTTAATATATTTTAAATTTTAAAATACCTATTATTGATTTATTTATAATTTTTAATATCAATTTATTTATAACCGGCTCAAGTCGAGCCGAGCTTGAATATCGCAAGTATCAACTTGAGTTGAGTTCGAGCCAAATATATGAAACACAATCGAGCTCGAGTCGTGTTTCGAGCTCTATGTTTTTGAGTCAAGCTCGAGCTCGAGTAGCTTGATACTCGACTCGACTCAGTCACACCCCTAGGAGGGAAGGATGAAGACTTCTAAGAGCATTGAGAGTAAGGAAGAAATAGCGGGGATTTCTAAGTCTTGCACCTCTCTACAGAAATTGAAATTGAAGGAGACGCCATCTGATCCTCTTATCAAGGTTGTAGAAATGAGAGCTTGTTTATCACGCACGCACTAACCTAAAAAGAGAGGTGAAAACTTCACGGAGAGGATTATTTCCCCACCAAAGGTCTATCCAAAATTTAATGGTATTACCATTTCCAACTTTCAGTCTAAGAAGGGGAAAGAAAGAAGCAAAGGACTGTAGGGTACCACTCCAAGGATTTCGAGAGGAATGAACTAGTAAAGGAAGAGAGTTGCCCCATCCCCAACAGCTTCTACCATATTTGCTGCAGATGACTGAGGCCCACAAAGAGTTTTGTTCCATCTTGAACCTCCAAAGCCACTTCCCAAGGAAAGCCTGATTTCTTTCCGAGATGTGTCCCAAGCCTATCCCACCTTCCCAAGCAAACAATTTTTCCAATTCACCAAGTGAAAACCTTTCTCTCCTCTTTCCTCCCAAAGGAAATCTCTTTGGATGGGTCTCCAATCTATTCCTAATCTTAGCTGGAACTTTGAAAAGAGAGAGGAAGTAGATTAGGGAGGTTTGAGAGTGTAGCCTTTATGAGAGTTAGTCTACTACCTTTGGAGAGAGAGTTCCGCTTCCAAGTACCCAGCCGCCTCTCACATTTCTCAATGACAGTGCCCCAAAAGCTTGCAGATGACGGGTTTCCCCTGAGGGGAAGGCCCAGGTATGTGAAAGGAAGACTCCACCCTACATCCCAGAGCATCCTTCAGACTCCACCCTACATTCCAGTCCATTCTTGGGGTTTAGGGTTAAACCATGGAATTCGTACAAGACTTTGTAGCTGGGTGCTTAATGCATCATTCACAGACCAATTCTCTCATTTATCGGGGGTGCAATACCCCTCATCAATCGACTGGAAGATATGGAAAAACAGAAATTTCAGAAGGCATGATGAATCTTGGTATAGAGAGGACTTTGTAATCAATAAAATACTAAAATGGTTAAGGGAACTGAGTATAATTCTTTCCAGTTTCACTTGATAATGGCTATGGGTATTAACAAATTGAACACTGAACGGAGAAGAAGAATACAGAGGGGTATTTGTTGCAAAGTAAAGTTCAGGGTGTCTTTGTTGCAAAAAAAAGTTCAGGGGGTAATTATCACTGACTCCATAGTACAGGGGGCCTTTGTAATTTACCCAAAAAAAACAGCACTTAGAAGACTCGAGGACTCGGAAAATATCCCAATTGATGAGGCACTAACTATTATTGTTCAAGAAATTGGATAACAAATGATAAATCTGTAATGGTAATAGCCACAATAGATCCAGAATTGTAGTTTAACCTTTATAAGGAAGATAAAAGATAACATTTTCATCATTCTTTTGAGATGGGGATCCAAATATAAATAATTACTCTTGGCCACTGTTAATATGTGGAACCAAATATCACACAAGATTTTCTAAAGGAACCAAATATATATATATATATATATGTAGAGAGAGAGAGAGAAGCTTTGCATATTGGATATTAAAGCATGCTCACCACATCTATGGGTAAAGGATGTAACATTAACAATCCGGGAAGGAACAGGACTGCTTCTAAGTAGTGGCAAGAGGAGATTAGTTAGGAAAAATGCACCAATATAATTTGTCCCCATCATCCTGTGACCACAGAAAGTCAGAAAACCTATCAGCACATGTTCTATGTTTTTCCCCTTAAAAGACAACTACATAATAACAAACAATGAAATAGCAAACGGTATATATTCCTATTTTGGAGCTCTAAAAATCACAAATAAAATGTCATTCACAAGAAGTTTTTTGCTCTATCAGTACGTAGGACTGGGATTGAACCACAACCGCATGCCTAAGATGGGAGACAGAGAACCTTCCAATTGAGTTCATATTCAAGAAACCTCAACTTAATCCCAATTTTATGTACAATATCATTCAAGTGTTTTAATAGTTGAATGCATAACACAAAGCTTCAAGACCTAACAATTCATGAAAATTAAAAGCAAATGAAAAAGGTTAATCTCAAAACTTCTCATTTGCTCATATTAAACAAAACTATTAAAGGTAAAAATTGCAGTAAAATTCAGAAAAGAGTTATTGATTAGAACGTATTCCGGTTAAGATAATGAGACAAAATACCCATTATTAACATATGAATGTAGCATATGTATCTGTGTGTTGTGTGTATACTCATGGCCAATGACTGTCTTGGTAAAGAATGAGTGTCAGTTTGGGCTGTCCTACTACAAGATCCATTATCCTTTGGGCTGTCCTATTGCCTTCTTATAGCCTTCAGTTTGCAATAAAGCATTGCTCACTACTGCAGCCACAGGCCTCCACTTTGACAAAGCTATGTCATAGCCTCTCTTATTTTAATGCCAATCATCCCATCCTAAGTTCCATGGTTATCCCTTCTATCCCCATTTATCCATCTCAATATCCTCATTGTAGCTGCGTTCATCTGGACCACTGAGGCCTAATGGTCCAACATTCTAGGACCAAAAAGTACAATTTTATATCTGTCCTGTAAATGTCTCCCATCAATCCTATTTGTATTCATCAGTCAAAACTCAAGGAGCACAGTTATACTTCACCACCCAGCATGCGGGCAACGTTCTCTTCAGTTCTGAATAAAAAATAAAGAATATCAGTTGACGCTATTTTAAACCTTTTTGAAAAATCCCACCAAATCTTCGATCTTTGTTTCAAAAAGGAAAAATAGGAAAAAAAAAAACAAAAAGATGTGAAATAGAACCCAGAAAAGGATTTAAGAACCATAAATACGTCAATCATTCCAAGGAAATAGTTAAGCATATGAAGAATTAGATAAAAATGTTATTCTTTTTTTTTGCTTTTTTGATTAAAAAATATTAGTTTTCTCATGCGTTCAGATCAACACCAATTCCTATTTCTCACTATCATTTGTTGACCCATCATAAAAGTAGGGATCATAATGAATACAATGCCAAATTATGAATTTTAACCTGCAACTCGTGATATTTTATCAAGTAAGTTTATAATGATTGTATATATTTTGGGTGCTTCCAGAGTGCATGGAACAAAGAAGGAAAAGCAATCAAAACTAAAATCACATGAACCATGTAAGGCATGTTGGATGGGGTTAGTTAAACTTACTGGTCAAAGCCTTCGGCTGTGAATCTGCATGATGTCGCCAATATCCCAGCATTGTTTATCAGGAGTTGGATGGAGGGGTGCATATCAGAGTTCAAGAGCCACTGCTTAAGGGAATTTTTGAACTTGAGCATAGATTGAAATGATGACAGGTCTACCTGAAATGCTTTAAGATGGGCGTCTCTATTTCGCTTCTTAATCTCTCTGATAATCTGTTATGCAAATGAAGGGACAAACACTCAAGAGAATGAATTGGGAGTGGGGGAGGGGGGATGATAATAAACTCAAGACTTAAGCCACACCTCTGATAACAAATCGGAGGACCGCCCGGCTGCAAATATTAGATATAGATAAATTTCAGTTTCACAGCTGCAATTATGGTAGAAGAAAGGTCATCCTTTCTCCAAGATAGAGGAGCAAATCAACTACTACTTGTAAACTCAATCAACACAAGAACTAACTAGGCATCTAGATACTAATCCTAATCGATTGATTAAGAGGTCTTGGATGGTTAGGGATATCTGAAGACAACGAACTTGATAAAAAAATGGCTTCACTTGTCAAAATGCTCTTCGCTAGATAACCAAGTATGGCCTTAAAAAGGAAGGTTAAGTCCATGAAGTTTTACAGAGCATGATACAGTAAATTGAAAAGTACCAAGAACGACATAGAATCCTTCCTTGGAAAGGGCATGCGCAGCTGCTGCACCTAAACCAGACGTGGCCTGCAACAACGAACACATATGAAATAGGAAGAAAAAATAGATACAAAAGGGAAAAGAAAGGTGGAATAGTTACGCCGGTGACGATGCAAACAGGCATGGAAGTGGTTGTGGTTGTGAAAATGGGCTGAGGAGAACAGCGCGGGTAGGAATGAGACTTCCGAGAGAAGAGTGCTCTGACAAACAACTGCAGGTGGGAGAAGACGAGAGCGAAAGTCCATAGCACCGCCATTCTCCAGAACTGTACAGAGCAAACGAATCGCAAGGCGTCCCTCCAGTACATCATTGCCGTCTTCGTCGTCATCCTTCTCGTTTTTCTCCCTTCTCCAAAGGGGAAAATCAAACTATATTTCAAAGAGAAATCCGGATCTTCTGCCCACGAATCCTACCCACAGCAATCCGAAGTGTTATTGTTTCATTCGAAAACTAACAGGCATGCAGGCTTAATTCCCACAATTGCCGCTACAATTTCACTGAGAAGCTTAAAGCCCCGTCCTTGAGATATTGCCTTCAGATACGGTTCGAAGCTGCTTAACGGAGAGCCGCGGGTGCTGGGATTTGATTAAGATAAGTAGGCTCAATTAGCAGTGGGGATGAGTTGCAGAGAGCTGTAGTTGTGATTGAATGGTTTGATTGCAAAGGGTAGGGAGGAAGAAACTGTTCGACTCTACTTTGATCGAGTTTAGACTGATCTGAATAGTGAATACGATTGGGAAGGACGCAAGGAAACACCCCTTCTTTCTTCTCTTATTTCCCACCAAAATTGCTTGTTCATCAAGGTTTCGTTATTTTCGATTCTGTTGTCTGCAACAGACTACATAGTGCATGGAGAGAGATTTTTTTATCAAAACCTTTGGTGATTGATGAAGCATCCGGCCTTCCTTTCCCTACTGCCTTCACTGGGTGGGCCGTGTAGCGAAGATGGACACCCTTCAAGCTCAACCGGCCCACTGCATCCGATGTAAATCAAGGAATTACTCCTTTATGAATTTCCCCAAAAATACAAAAATTCACAAAAACAATTTACATAGATCCGTTAAAAGAATTATTTGTTGTACAAATATTTTTTAGAAGTACTTCATGCCTGTTTAGCAAGTCTTTTCCGGAAGATCCGTTACAAGATTTAATGGTTAAAAGACAGGATGAGATTTTGAAAAGAGATCTTTGAAGACCAAATACTGTTTGGTTGAAATATTTTACATAGATCTTACAAAAGACCATAAAAGCTAAAATACAGTTTGGTAATGTGAATGTCGTGTATTGGCCAACAAACCTTTAATTTAATACGTGGGGCCCACATATATTTTCTAATGTGAGACCCACATACCATTAGTAGACATGTATGTAGGGTCCACGTACATTTTACAAGATGGGCCTGACATACCATTGATAGACATGAGGGTCCATGTGTGGACATGTATGTGGGGCCCCACATACCATTGGACATGCATGGACATGTATGTGGGATCCACATACATTTTATAAGGTGGGCCCCACATGCCATTGGTGGACATACATGTGGGGTCCATGTGTGGACATGTATGTGGGGCCCACATACATTTTTTCAAGGTGGGCCCCACATACAATTGGTGGACATGTATGCGGGGACCATGTGTGGACATGTATGTGGGGCCCACATACATTTTATAAGGTGGGCGTCACATGGCATTGGTGGACATGCATGTGGGTCCATGTGTGGACATGTATGTGGGGCCCACATACATTTTTCAAGGTGGGCCCCACATACAATTGGTGGACATGTATGTAGGGTCCATGTGTGGACATGTATGTGAGGCCTAGATACATTTTTCAAGGTGGGCCCCACATACCATTGGTGGACATGCATGTAGGTTCCATGTGTGGACATGTATGTGGGGCCCACATGCATTTTACAAGGTGGGCCCCACATGCCATTGGTGAATATGCATGTGGGTCCATGTGTGGACATGTATGTGGGCCCTACATACAATTTCCAAGATATGCCCCACATACCATTGGTAGGTCCCACTTACACATCAAATAGTTTTTGTGGAAAGATGACCCATTTTCTCTCAAGCGTGTACATCGTACCACACGTTCGAAGAAGACATAGTGCTAAAAGACTATAAAAGCTTCATTTGAAGTTTCCTAAAAATGCTCAAATTCAAGCTTCTGTCGTCTTTTATGGGTTGGAGCTTTTCCCGAATAAATCTTTCTATTGCCAAACGGGAAAAGCCCAGAATTCAAGCTTCCGGGCTTCTAAACAGCCCAAAACCCGCACGAAAAGACTTGCCAAACACGATCTTCTTTTAACAACCACTTAAGGTTGTTTGGTGACCTATTTGTCAAATCACTTATTATGTTTTTAAGCACTTACTGTGGTGGGAATGTTTGGTGATGTGGCGTAATCCAGCTGCTCCCTGCTGGATATGATCTGGCTGCCAGCAACGACAAAGACTGGGGTTCCTGAAAGAGATAGGGTCAAAGATCCCGGGGTGGCTCACTCGGCGAGGACACTCCGATGGCTAAATTAGAACACAGTGATAGTAGAGAGCTTGAAGATGATAATAGTGAGAGAGCTAGAGAGCAAAGATTACGCACACAACAATAATAATAGAACATATCTTCACCCCTAGGGGGCGAAGTCTTTATATACTGGGGTCCATGCGGGTCGGTGGAACGGTTACCGGATCCCAGTTTTGATGGGACTTGTTTGCGTGTTAGGTGGGTGAAACGCCATCAAACGGTAATACTGTCCCTTCCCGTCAGAACTGGGGAGTTGGTGAGCTAATGTGACCGTTACGAAGTACGGTCTTGTGGGATACAGAGTGTGGCAGTGTGCTCCTCGAGGTTGCCATGCGGAGGTCTGAACAGTAGGCGAGTTGCCTGTAGGATATCGGGTTGTTCGATGGCGAGCTGATTGGTAGCGAGCTTCTCGAGCTCGTGCTCCTTAGGTCCGCCTTGTCACGAATGTCGAAGTGCCCTTGGACCAAGGTAATCCTAGTGCGATCTTGTGCTGAAGTATACTTGCCCCGAAGTAGTCCTGACCGAGGTAGTTTCATCTATCCGGGCTCGATCTGTAACGAACTTGGTTCCGTTATCCTGGTCGCGATCTGGTATCAGGACGATCTTAGCCCGAAGTGACTTTAGTTCGGGGTACTAGCGTACCCAAGGTCGCTTTGTAGCGAGCTTATTCATGCTGAGTCGCCATCCGTGTTGAGTCATGTCCACGTGCCGATCTGATCTCATTGAATTGTCGCTTGTGCTGAGTCATGTCCACGTGTCTCCTAGTCATGAGGTCGAGCCAAATTTTCCTTCATCATTTGGTAAACCACTTTTCCCATAAGTGCTTATATTGACACAAATGACAATTTTAGCCCTCACTTCACTCATACATATATGTTAATAATGACATTTTTCTTATTTTTTAATAATTTGCATAAATGAAAATAAACTATAAATTAATTAAAAATTCTGAATTACATTTTACATACTATATGTATCTTATGAACCTTATATACGTTTAATTAAAATAATATATTTTTTTAAGTTATTAACCAATAAATTAATCCACAATAAATAAGTAAATAAAACATATTAATTACTTAAAAAATAAAAATTATTATTTATATTTTTTAAAACAAACATTATTTATATAAAAATATTAAAGAAGTAACAAAACAACGATTTATTAATTAAGTTATTGTGTGATATAATATGTCAACGATTCCATTATTATTGATTGTAATGTATTTTTTTATGTAACGTAGTAAAGTTATTAAGGCGTTGTTTAGTCCCATGGGCTATGGCCAAACGTGTTGTGTTTCTTTTAGTGTTGTTTGACGGTTATGGTGACATTAGACACCACTTAAGCTCAACAGTATTAAATGATAGGAAAAATATTAAAATAATATTTACCCTAACAGTTAGTTCTCACACTATGACAATCCCAAGTGAGTCGAATCCAACTTGAGATTTCCTATGCTCCAGTAAGTTACTTGGTTTTGCACTTGCATGTTAGGAGTCTTAGGACTCTCGAAGTCTAAGGTAGTAATGTGGGTTGGGGCAACACGGCCCAGCATGACTCGGCCCAAGGTCATGCCGGGCTTCCCTCTTGATAGATTCATGCCAAGCAGGCATGGCCCGCTACAGTAAGGCAGCCCAAAAAAGTGGATCATACCAGCCCAGCCCAGCCCAGCCGTTGTGAATGACTGCAAAAGCAAAATTTTGCCAATAAGACTCGGTATTATACTGTATTTAGGGGATAACTCGGGTTGGGCGGTTGGGCCAAGTCGGACCATTCAAATTTCGATAATTGAATCCACCCGTGCCATGTGCCCCTTGCTCGGTAAACCAATACGATACCTGCAGGTTGGTGTAGGACGAGTTCACATCTCCACCCCACAAGGGACCGCCCCACAGCACATCCCACTGTGCATTGGGAACATGGGCGGAGATGTGATCTCAGGTAGGAGGACTATGTCCAGTCTACTTTTCACTTGGTCCTTTCTTGAACAACATTGTATTGAAATTGAAGGTTTGAAGCATATTATTTCCTATGACAAAAGAGATTTTAGGAAGTATAGAATGAAGGACATCCACACGTATCCCCAGTCTCTCACAAAACCAGTTTAACATTACTGGAAGGAAAGAGAAGTAAGAACAAGTTTAATAGAACTTCCCCCGCAATAAAATAAAAAAATCTGCAGAATTTGAAGCTGCCAGAACCAGTAATCGTATGTATTTCCTTTTTATAACACATTCATTTGTCCCAACGCAGAATGGACAGACCTGCAAAGCCTTCCCCACTCAACAGCCACAGGATCTCTTATCATCAGACCGCAACTCCCAACTCTGACATTTTCATTATCCTCTTGTCCAGAGAACTTCTCTGTTGTTTCACCAGAGATGCCATGGAAGCAACCTGAAAAAAGGGAAATATTTCAGTTTAAAGTTTAAACCACACACCGTCTGAATGACAGTTGACATGCATCAGCATAGAAAATAGAATTTTCAAGGATAAAGAAAGATGCTGGATTTGCCTCTGCTCGAAGCTTCAAAGCCTCCCTGCCAGGAATTTCCCGTAGCCCATCCATCAAATCTACAAATTTATTTTTTGTAAACAGTGTCAGATTAGGTAAGCAAATATTGAATCATAAAACAAAATATATCAGACTATCCATCTAATTACAAAATTAAATCACTTTTTTTCATTTGTTCCTTCTTTTTTAACTTGATATCCTAGGCAGCAACTTTATCTGTATACTTTGATCATAATGTGACTGGACACTCAATAAGACTTTATCCCAACCAACACCCATTTCGCCATTCCACTTGAAACAATTCACAATTCATGTTTGTAGGATTTGAGAATTTGTCATGCTCGTTGCCAGCCTGACCCTATCCTTTATCCAGGCTGGGAACCAGCATAAAATATAGGGAACCAGCACAGCAAAACAAGTTTGGTAATTCTATGTATTGCAAGAAAGTAAAAGATCAATTAATAAGATGTGTATGTGAATGAAAAGATGAGGGGAACATATACCAAAAAAATAAAAAATAAAAGAAAAACAAAGAAAACTTCCCACTCCCATCACAGAAAAAGATCTCCCACTTCATTGAATAAGTGAGCTAATCTCCACACACCTAAGTCATCTCAGCCTATATCTGATGGCAGCATTTGCTGAACCCCCAAGGACCGAGAGTGGAGGAGCCACTCACTCTTGGCAGTTCTTGAGCCAGTCAAGGCAATAATCTTTTCCTTGACTGCATTCGCATACAAATTGGCTTCTGAAAAACCATAGCAACGATGGCATATTATGATTTTGAAAAACAGGCCATGACATTTTTAGAAAAAAATATATATTCTCTCATGAAGGAAAAAAAAAAGGAAACAAGTTTGCCCTCATATAATGATTTTTTTTTTCTTTTGCAAGGGCTTTTTATCTTTCAGTAAGGACAGAGACAGATATGTTATATGGAACGGAGTGTTGGACAGTTAAGAAACAAATATTCAAAAAATAAGTTTAGCAGAAATGCGAATGTTCAGATGGATGAGTAGGGAAACTAAAAAGGAAAGGATGAAAAATGAGCATGTTCTTAGGATCTTAGGAGTAGACCATCTACAATATCAGTGAGAAAGACATGACGTGATCTATTGAAAGAAGAAGGATCTAAAAAGAAGGGGGCAGACCAAAAGGGACATGGATAATGGTAGTTAAAAATAATTTGAGGATCCATAAATTAACAAAGAATATGATACTCAACAGAGTGGAATTGCAGAACAGGATTCATGTAGCCAACCTCATATAATTGGGACAAGGCTTAGTTGAGTTGAGTTTGTTATTGCCTTCACTACAAAGTTGTCCCATTTACAACCCCTACTCTAATTTATTTACCTTTTCTTATTTCTTTCAAAGGGTTATTTTACACTGAAAGTGCATATGTTGGCATCATATCTGATTCTAGATTTTCTATTAACATGTTTTTGGCTCTGAAGTAGTGTATTTCAATCAAACCCAGATAAATGACACTATCATTGTTTTAAACTTCTATTAAAAGCTGACTTCCAGGTTCCAACAAAAAAAGGGCAGCCCAGTGCACAAGGCTCCCGCCAATGTGGGGTCTGGGGAGGGATAGATGTACGCAGCCTTACCCCTGCACATACAGAGAGGCTGTTTCCAAGCTGACTTCCAACAACCGAAGTGAAATCTACGAATTGAATTTCATATTTTTTTTTCAATTGAATTTCATATCAAGTTTCAGCAAGTTTTGATTCATCATCATCATCCAAGCCTTATCCCAACTATATGGGGTAGGCTAGATGAATACTAATTTCACCATTCCAATCTGTTAAATGCCATAACTTTTGTTAAATCATGAGCACTGAAATAATTTTTACTAAGACCCATATCCTTTTTGTTCTACCCCTAGCCCTTCAAGCCCCATCAACTTGCAACAGATCACTTCTTATGGTTAGGGGTGTCAATTGGACTGGATTTGGCCCAATCTGGTCCAGTCCAATGTGAGTACATTATAAATGGACCAGGTCCAGTCCAATCCAATGAATATTTTGGACCATTTTGGACCGGTCCAATTCAATGTCTGGACCGCCCAATCTGTTCAAATTCATTTTGATTTAGATTGGCTTCAACCCAAACCCAGTCCATTAGCACCTATATTCTTATCTTATATCAATGGACCAGATATTGGCCTTAATCCAATCCAATCCAATATAAATTTATTACGGACGGACCAGGTCTAATCCAATCTAATAAATATTTTGGACCAGATTGGTCCAATCCAATATGTCTTGTTGGTCCATCCAATCTATCCAAATTCATTTTGGACTGGACAGGGTCCAATCCAAAACCGGTCCATTGACACCCCTACTTATGGGTGCTGCTGATGGTCTTCTATGCACATGACCAAACTATGATTGATCAATAAAAATATCACACATACAGAATACATGATTTTGGTTAAAATATGAGAGTATGCTAACTAAAACCATAAAATAAGTGTAATAGAGAAAGAAAGGGTCGTTGCATCAAAAATAATAAAAAGGGAGAACTCTCTAAAACTCAAGAAAACGAACAGACTATAACAAAAATATTTGAACATAACTTAATGTTAGTTGTATTTATTTGTAATGGAAGAGGCATTTGGATGTTAATGATATCAGACACGCATAATGGCATACGTTAGTTTCAACAAATAATGTTTCCTACTCTAAATAGTTGCTTTGATTGTATGATGAGTTCTAAATCTGTCTTGATGTTTATTCTCTCTTTTTCTTACACTGTTTGGTTTGAAAGAAAAGGTAGGGAAAGGGAGGTAAAGGTAAAGAAACCTATACAAGCCTTGTATAGGTTTCCCTACCTCCTCTTTTAAACCAAACACAGGGTAAAGGTTTATTGTAGATTCCCAATATTTTTTTTTCTAAGAAAGGTAAATGTTCCATTTAAAGGGGCAAAACATAGACCCCAGAAGCTATACAAATGACACTGTATAAATGTATACAAAGACTATTCTACTGCATAGAAAAAAAAGCAAGAAAGTGTATTACACTTTAGATTTCCAACATTTTCATAGTTTCCATAAATTTACAATATTTCTACGAGCTTTCATGAATTAATTCCACTTCCATAAGGTCTGAAGTTTATACTGGAATTGAAAGTTAAAAACCTTGGACATTATACTATTGCTGTTTTATGGCTTAATAGAGCACCACTTCCATTTGTGTCAAGATAAAGGTTTCACTTCAAGGTTCAATAAAGAAATGCTTGAATGGTCTAATAGGCTAAACTATGAGAAATAGAGAGATAAATTATAAATATCGATCAATTCAATTGCTATCCAGTTCCACAATTTGGTAAAAACAAGCATACATACATACCAGCTGCTTGAGCTTCAATCTTGTATACTGATTTAGCAAGTCTTTGAATGTCAGCCCCAGCATTCCTGCAGAAATATTTTAAATAATCAGCTCAAATGTATGATGCCTGTAGCTATATGCATGAACCTTTTATAATGGTTTTATGTGTGTGTGTGCCCATCTGTATAACCGTTCCATTGTTGTCATTAGTCCTGTCATCCTTCAAGATCAGCCCTAAGATGCAAGTACAGTAAATAGACTTGCTCTAGTCAAGTAATTCAACAACCAAAAATACATTGTCTTGATGGTCAAACACATCCATATAGTTATTTTGATGTAAATAAATGAATGAGGTACCACATTTACATTAGTTGATCATAACCACGTTTCATATCCTTTTCAGCGAGAGTTGCCCTTTCAAGGAGCTTTTTACTTTCATTCTTCATTAAATCCACAGAAAGAGTCAGCTCTTTGACATTCTTCTCAGCCCTAAGAAATTGTGCCTGTCAACAGATGTATGAACATTAAGTAAAAAAGAAAATGCTTTAGAGTATAAGAACACAAGTTTCTTTACTTCTATTTGAAGAGAGGACAGATACAGGCTTCTTACATCAATAGAAAGTGATGCAATATATGCATGTTAAACACTATATGCAACTCACCGTGTAAAACACTTGTTGAAATGGATAAATTGAGAAAAAAAAATCAATTTACTTTATAACCCTATTTATATGAACCTTCTTTGAAGAAAGATGAGAATGTACCTCCTCACTCTGAAGTCGGCCCAATGTATGACGAAACAGAAACCTTCTTGGACCTGCAAATGCAGCAACATTATACTCAAAGCTATATATGACTTAACATAAGGAAGATAAGTCTGAAGACTCCAAACAAATTAAGAGTCGAATAAGAGATGCAAAAATGCAAGGGCTCAGACAGAGCAACCCAAAAGAAAAAAGAAAAGAAAAGAAAAGAAAAGAAAGGTAGGAAGATAGGAAGGTAGGAAGGAAGGAAAGAAAGGAAAGGAAAGGGAGAAAATCAAGAGAAACAAATGCCATTTGTTCTAGTTCTTAAGTATTAGAAAGAACCAAGTTAAACTCTAAGAGAGTTTTCTTTAGTCTCTTTAAGAAAACCAAGAGAAACAATCGTCATAACTTTCAAACATCATGCAAGCATGCACCAACCAATTCTCAGTCAACTGTCTCAGATTCTCAGGCACCTCAAATGCATAACTTATGGTTAGAGTGTTAGACCACTGACCACAAGATCTCATGATCGGATAACCAATCAACCAATCAATTCAATCCCCAAGAGGAAATCTTATCCCAGATCATTATAATGTTGGCAATGATGTACCGACTCTTTTGCCTTTCATCCTCCATGTAGTCATATACTCGATACTAAAGGAAATACAATCTACACCCTACGAATGACAAAGGGTGCTGAAAAGATGTCCAATTTCCTGAAAATGTTATACATATTCAAAGCATGGTTACTTCAACTCTCAGAAAAAAAAGTAAGATTTACCTACCTCCACTCCTAAAAAAAAGTACTCGCTTCAAATGGTGTGGGACCAATACTAAAAATGAGTAACCTTTCTAATTTAATTTCCTAATTCAAATAAAAGACTCACCATAAAGATTTTCAATTCGTTAATTGATGTGGGTCTTTTCTTTTAGATAAAGTGGGTCAGCAATTTCAAACTAAACCTGATTTAATCTCCTAAGTTAAATACAAAGTCCAACCCAAGTTTACTGCATGAATAGTAAATCCCAAACAAAATAATATGTGGTTACCCCATACTTGGTATGGGGTGGTCATTAGCTAGCAATGTATTAAAATTAAATCAATGTCATATAATTAGGATGAAATAAAACCATTTATTTGATCTATATAGTTAATAATTATATTTCTAGTATTTTATTATATATTTATATATTTTTCTATAATAAATATTGTAAATAATAAACTATTCTTTGGGATGCGTATTGACAAAATGTTCCATAAAAATTCTAGCAACATTAGTATGGTATTAAAGAAATGCAAGAAAGAACAGAAAAGATTCTCATACCCCGCATAAGAAGAAGACCTGCTGTAACAGCTATTCCACCTGCCACAGCTGGGTGCTCTTGTGCACTCATCAACTCATCTAGAAAGGTAGAAGTTAGAGCATAAAATCAACACTAGAAATATGAATTAGAGAGAAAGATACATAGTGGGAAAGGTTGTATTTTTGTGACATGCCATTTTCTATGAACAAGGCACATTTCCTCTGACAGGACAGAAAGTACCCTCGCCTCCCCCCTCTTAATGATTATATAAGGGTATTCTCTGTCATTTTCAGAAACTACTTTAGGGCTTACTTATATTTCACCCCTATATAAAAAGGGGGTGTGCCCAAGTTACCACCATGGCACCATGAAAAACTATATGCAGAATAAATTCCTATTCTCAATGAACCCAAGATACATATGATAGATATTGTTGATGCACTTCTCATTCCAAACCTGATCATCTTCCAAGCTACCTCCTAGTTGAGTGATAACCAGAAAAGGAAAAACAAGGATCTCAACCATCTGATAAAAATGGGAACTTGATCTTAAGAAATGGAAAATGGGGTTAGTGTTAGGAAGAGAAAGTTAAAATATGAACGTTGTGTTTAGAGATTGTTCCTTTGATGATCCAGTTGGCTACCATATGGTATGGGCCAGGTTTTGTTTTTTATTTAAAGAAGAAGATTAGGCTCATCTAATATTTTCCAAAGGTTATATGAGGTGGGGAAAAATACTTGTTCCCATTTATGCCCATCTGTGGAAAGCTCCACTGAATAAAGCCAATTGATATGAATTAAGGAAAGAAAGTTTCATGTATTAACTCCACATACGTATTTCCATTACTGCTGCAGGGAGAGAACAATTCACCTTTGACTTTCTTGAAGACAGCATCTTCATAAGTTTTATACTGGGATTTCAACTGCGCTGTGAAAGTCTGTAAGATGTGATACAATTCTTAGCACAAGCAAAGTACAAATAGAAAAACACTTTCATAAAGTCATTGCTAATTATATGGGAGTAATAAAAGCATTAAAAAAAGAAAGATAAACTACAATCTTGAACTTAACTACAGCTTAACATACATAAACTGAAACATATTGTGACTAAATCACTATATCTTGCTAACAGAAAGACAGACAGGGCAAGTTACTATTAATTGAAACAATTCTAAATTTCTTAACAATACCACAGCATTGACATGGTTAATAGTCAATCCTTGCTTGAATTTCTTTTTGATCAGCAACGACAAAGAAGAATCTCATTAACGATTAAGAAAAAGATAGAACAAGGAGTTCTGAACAGCAAGCATGCCCAATACAAGGCAAGCCACCCAACCCATATTACAATTGTGCCCAATGCATAAACTGTCTTTGAACCCCTTGCTTAGCTAAGTTGTCTGCCAATGCCAAGCTATTTGCAGATCTTCTAACCCAACACACTTGGATGTTCATGTCTTTTGACAGCCACAGAAATCTTCTGAAAACTATTAATTGAAGCAATTCTAAATTTCTTAAAAATACCACAGCATTGACATGGTTAATAGTCAATCCTTGCTTGAATTTCTTTTTGATCAGCAACGACAAAGAAGAATTTCATTAACGATTAAGAAAAAGATACAACAAGGAGTTCTGAACAGAAAGCATGCCCAATACAAGGCAAGCCACATTTATCAAAAAAAAAAAAATACAAGGCAAGCCACCCAACACATATTACAATTGTGCCCAATGCATAAACTGTCTTTGAACCCCTTGCTTAGCTAAGTTGTCTGCCAAGCTGTTTGCAAATCTTCTAACCCAACACACTTGGATGTTCATGTCTTTTGACAGCCCCAGAAATCTTCTGAAAACATTCCCTAGATGTCAAGTCACCCCCTCTCCTTTTACCAACCATCCCACAACTACCTTCAAATCCCCTTCAATAATCAATCTGCAATTCCCAATTCTTTGGCCTTCTCTACCCCATAAACCACTGTCAAAAATTCTGTTTTCATCGAATCACCATGCTCTATTGGACCTGAAAATAAAGCACTAATAATGCCTCCCTCATCCATAATAACCCCTCCAATACCAAAGGGACCCAGGTTACCCATACAGCTATGGAAGAGCTGAACCCACCCAGATATTACAATTGAGTCCTGTGTACCCCTTGCTTAGCTAGACCATCTGCCAAGCTGTTGGCAGTTCTTCTCACCCACTTAACTCTGATAGTCAAGTCCTTTGCTAACCATTTAAAACGCCTGAAGTCATTCCTCAGGTGCCATGTCACCCCCTCTCCTTCCTTCAGCCATTTCACAACAGTTCTCGAACCACCCTCAATGATTAGGTTATTGACGCCCAACTCCCTTGCCTTCTCGACCCCGTATACTGCAGCTAACAGTTCTGCTCTTGCCACATCACCTTGTTCAGCAAGCCCCGAGTATAAGGTTATGATGTCTCCTTCCTCATCCCTGATTCCACCCCCCCCCCCCATGACTGAGGGGCAGGTTTCTGTCTTCTAGTAGATGAACCAACAATAACAGCCCAGGCCCTAAAAAAGTCTTCAACCTTAAAGTCTGAAAACAGTTTCAAACTTTTTGCCCATTGTGCCACTCTTAAGGTCATGATTTCCACCAAGGCTTCCTTACTCCTTTCTCTTTCTTCAAATATTCTTGAATTTCTTTCCTCCCAAACTGCCCCTCCTTTTAGTACAGCTAAAAACAGGAGGGCTAAACAATCCTTCCAACCTGTCAGGAGGAAACCAAAAGCATCCAAAGAGGGAGGAAAACCAATTCAAAAAAAAAAAAAAAAAAAAAGATCACAAGTTTTCGTGTAACAAACAAGTTAAATATGTGAATAGATAAAAAAAAAAACTAACAAGAGGGGAAGAGATTAGGAGATGAAAGGCAGTTTCACCACTTAACTTGCACATAACACAGCAGCTGGGGGACAAACACCAAGTTGGCCTTATTCTTTGAAGCAAGTCACAGGTATTAATACAGCCATGAAACACTTCCCAACAGAAAGCACTGATTTTCGAGGGAATGGGAAAGCACCAAACTTCCTTAACTGGGAAAGGAGAGGACGAAGTGGCAACCAAAGAATTGAAGAAAGATTTACAAGAGAACAGACCATCAGAATTTAGGCCCCAAACCCTGGAATCCATAACCCCTTCACCCAAACACACTAAATTCAACAAGCCAAGCAACTCAGACACATTAGGAATTTCAGCTTCTCTAAGGTTCCTCTTAAAGCCAAAGTTCCAATTCAACCCAAAAGGATAAAGCTGTTGGGTCAAGAAATCAAATATAATATAGGTCTACCCTTAAAACTGAACAGGTCACAAAGAGCAGGAAAGCAGGAAATCTCTCACCCAAAGGGGTATCCCCAATCCAATCATCCTCCCAAAACCTAATTTTTTGACCCAAAGCCAAGTCATACCTGACATGATCTAGAAAGGTAGGAAGATTCTTGTGGATGGCCTTCCAGGGGGAAGCCAAGATAGCTCTACAAAGACAACCAGCACCCCATCCATTGCCAGATATGCCATGAATGCTTGCAATAACTTTGTGCCATAGCTTGCCATTCTCATTAGGAAATCGCCAAGGTTTTCATATTTAAGAATGAGCAGAGCCATATTCTTCAGCTTGACACTACCAATTGACCCAATTCCCAACCCCCCTTCTAACTTTAAATTCACCACCTCGTCCCATCTAACCAAGTGATCCTTCTTTTTTTCCCCCCCAACTCCCAAAGAAAGTCCCTCATGATTTTTTCAATTTTCCTCACTATCTCTTGGGGCATAACACTGACATGCAGTACACTGGAAGGTTTGCAAGGATGGACTTAATAAGAATTCATCTCTCCCCATTGGAATATAGTTCCTTTTCCATCCAGCCAGCCGCTTCTCAACCCTCTCCACCACAGGGGTCCAAAAACTAGCTGATCTAGTGTTGTCACCTAGGGGTAAGCCTAAATATCTCAGAGGCCACTCTCCCCTCTCACAACCTAAAGCGCTTGCCATGTCCCTTAAATCATCTTCTTTAGGTGCTCACGGTTCGGTTAACCGAACAGTGCGCTAATTTTTGAAACCGAACTGGGTAACCAAAACCGAACTGAAGTCGATCAGTTGACTGGTTCAGTTAACCATCGATTTGGTTTGTTGGTTTTGCGGTTTTTTATTATTTACAATATTTATTATAGAAAAATATAAAAATATATAATAAAATACTAGAAATATATATAATAATATATTTTAATTTTTAAATAATAAATAATATATTATAAATATATATATAATGCATATTTATTAATTTATAATGTATAGAAAATATATAATACATATAATATATATAAATATACATAAAATATATAATATAAATATATGTATACCGGTCGGTTCAGTTAACCGCCGGTTTTCTATTTTGGTTAACCAAAACCAAACCGGTACCTTCGTTTTTTTTTAAATATTGAACCGAAACCGAACCGACCGGTTTGGTTAACTGAATTTTCAGTTTGGTTTCGGTCGGTTCGTTTTTTCGGTTCTTTTGCTCACCCCTAATCTTCTTTTACATTGATTCCAGTAATTAAACTCTTAGACCAACTAACCCTCAAGTTAGACAACCTCCAAAGAGTTTCACCACCAATTTCAAATTTTCCACCCCTGCCCTACAGTCATCTTCACAAAATATCAAATATCATCTGCAAACTACAAGTAAGTAATCAAAATATTGTCTCTCCCAATTGGCCAACCTCTAAATAATTGCAAGGAGTTTGCTCCAGAGATCAGTTTACTCAGCCCTTCAGCTACAAAAGTGAAAAGAAAAGGAGAGAGAGGGTCACCATATATTTATTTGGATCATCATATATTTTAACAGCCATTTGAAATGTCTGAACTCATTTCTTAATTGCCAAGCTGCCCCCTCCCCCTTTTTCAGCCAATCCACAACTTTTTCTGAGTCACCTTCAATTACCAGCCTTTCAATATATACATAGTTTTACCTATAAAAAAAATACAACACCTTCCTGTGCCAAGCTAGGGGAGAGGGTAAGACAACCTTAAGGTTCAATATTCCACAACTATGGACATATGATACAATAGAGCACTCTCTAGCCTAGTATAGCCTCCTCTATGAAGACTATCAGCAAAAGAGTTAGCTCACCTTTGTATTAGTCTAAATAAGTTTCTCATTATGGAAAAACAATAATCTAGCTTCAAGTGATTTTAGTTACCAGCTGATACTCCCTCTCCAACACTTCTGACTTGTCTCGAAATCTTGACCTAAACAAAGCTTTCTGGGAAGTGCACTTCCATTGAAATCACTTCCTCCTTGAGGATCTAAAAGCCGTTCCATCACCCTCCAATCACAAATTCTTATTGAAATTTGAAGATTTAGCGTGGTCTTCTGTTATATCCCTTTTCAGAGCTTTAATCAGGTATACGAACTTACCAATCCAAAATGGAATATAAACTTCTTGATATGTTCCTAATGTAGGAGGTTCCCTCACTCCAAATGGAATATGTATGAGGAGGAAGTATGCACCCCCTCCCCCGGGGCAAGAAAGAGAGGGGAATGAAGTTAAACATATATATAATTTTTTTCTTCCTCTTATTGTTTGTTACTTTCAGTTTCAGCAGTGGTGGGAGAATATAAATACCTGTAAAAAATCAAATAGTAAAAACTATAGAATAACTAAAAATTCTGCAAGCAATCCATATAAGAAAGGCGTATGCCATCAACACAAAGTGAGAATAACAAAGAAAATAAATAATCCCATAGACAATAGACCCCTAAATTAAACTTTTACTAAACCCAGGGAAAACAAGATGATCGAGGGAAATTAGATTGGAAACCAAATATATCAACCGATCCTGCAAAACATATAACAAGCAATCCAGCAAAAAAAAATAATGGGAAAATTCAAGAGAAACCTAGATAGAAAACACACTCTCCACCAAAATGCCTCAAAAAACGAACAAAAATAAATTAAGAGGTAGCAACATTAGCGTTGAAAGGAGAGAGGAGGGGGGGGGAAGAGGAAGTACCTGCAATGAACGGAAATGGGTCGATGAATTCTCTTGCAGAGAACGAGCAGAACGGAGGGCGGAGTCCGTGGTTCCAAAAACGGTCTGCTTCAGATCCTCTGCGGTGTAAGCATGCCATGGCTTCTGTTCCTGTGATGCTTCGCGTGGGCTAGAAGGCCCCTCTGCCATTTTTTGTGTATAGTTTTCCCGGGTGACCATTGGTCTCCGGCCCTAATTGCCTTTCTCTTTTCCAAGCGTAGGGAAAAAGAAAAGGGTAAATTACAAAGACCCCCTTGTATTATGTGTTCAGTGACAGTCCGCCCTGTACTTTTTTTTGCGATAAAGACCTCTAAATTTTAGCCGTTAGACAAAGACCCCCTTCCACTAACGTTCTATCAGTTAACTTCAAAAAAATTTCATCCGACTGTTTAATTTTTTAAATGTCCAAACTACCAAACAGAAAAAGGTTGTGGCCAGGTATATGATTGAGGTGCATTCTTTTGCATTGTCATAAAATAATGAAGAGTGGTTTTTAACTTACAATAGTGATTGCTTACCTTTTGATGTACAAGTCAGGGCACATGAGGACCAACAAGAGTTGCTCTAAGTACCGGACAAGACTTGGAAATACAGGTTGATAACACAAGCCTAGAAAAAGTATCAAGAAAATTAGGGGTGCTCACGGTTTGGTTAACTGAACCGTGGGTTTTTTTTTTAATCGAACCGATTTGATCAATTTTTTAAAAATCTAAATTGAAACCAACCCGATGTAACTGGTTAACCGTGGTTCGGTTTTTTGGTTTTTTGTTTTGCACTCAAAGTTAAGAAAAATAAAATAAAAAATTACCTGGCCCGAGAGGTGGCAAAGCCGCGGAAATGAGAGATGAGAGAGACAACAACAGAGCATGGGAAGTGGCAGTCCTGGCGGAGTTGAGGCGGCGACCGGCATCTTGGTTGGTTGTTGTAGGGGTGAAAAAAAATCAGAGTTGAGGCGGCGACTAGCATCTTGATGGTTGGTGCAGCGAAAACGGAGATGATAAACGACAGAGAGAGAAAGAGGCACGGGAAAGTACTGAAGCAAGAGGAAAGTTGGCCACTAGGTGATACTTGAGAGGCCATCGGTTGGAGGACGACCAACGCTAGAGGAAAAACTAGGAAGATAAAGAGAGTCAAGAGACAAGAATCACAAGAGAGACTGAGAGAGTGAGAAAGCCTACTGCCTATTACAATTACTGGTTTAGGTTTTCAAGAAGGGAAAACATGGAAAGAGGAAAAACTGAGAAGGCTCTAGGCGGAGTGATAGATGTGCGCGTGTTTGTTATTCGATTTTAAAAATAACAAATTCATACATGGAGAGGTAAGGTACTAAGGTTTTACTTTTTCTTTTGGGACTTGTATGAAAATTGAAAAGGCGCCAGGCAATAGGCTAACCTGGCACGCACCAGGCACCAGGCGAACAGAGTGACAGATGCACACCAGTAAGGTTATTCGATTTTAAAAATAAAAATAAAAATATAATATATAATATATGTAATATATACATTATACAATATATTATTGTATATATATACACCGGTGGGTTCGGTTAACCGCCAGTTTTTGTGCAAGGTTAACTGAAACCGAACCGAAATTTTTGGTTTTTTAAAAATACCAAATCGAAACCGAACCGACCAGATTGGTTAACCGATTTTTTGGTTTTTTTTTTATTGGTTCGGTTTTCTTCTTCTTCTTCTTCTTTTGCTCACCCCTAAGGAAAACCTACCATCCTTGATTCTTCTTCCCAGCCCCAGCAAAAAGCTGCAGTGAAGAGACTAAAACAAAAGACTGTGTCAAAGGTTGCTAATGTAGCAACCTTGGAAAACGCTAATAAATTGGGATTAAAAACAAAATTCCCCACACTGAAGCTCAAATGTGGTCCTGTTGACAAATCTTTTGAGAAAGCAACACCTGGGATTATGTATAGTTATGAGAAACCTATCACTTCTGATGCTGAAACTGGGACTAAACCTATTACAAAGACCAGTAAGATAAAAATTTCCAACAAGATGAAAAATGAAGATATCCAGGTAGAAGCTCAGAAGCCATCCATTGTGATACGTCCACCAACAGAGGTAGATAGAGATCAACCTCGCAAGAAAATCATAATTAAGCATAAAAAAGACAGTTGCTAATGTGGACTAGGTCAAACAAGAAGCTAGCTCTGGACTGGGTGAAGAACATCAAAAGACAAAAAAGTTGATTGAGTTGTCAAGTTTTGAGAAACATAGAGAGAATGAGAGAAAGCAATTGGCTGAAGAGGCATCAAGGAGAAAAGCTGCAGAAGAGAGAAGATTGTGGGAAGAGGAGGAAAAGAGGAGATATGCAGACAGGTTGAGAGAGGAGAAAATAAGGAGGCTTTATGAGGAAAAGAAGAGGACGCAGGAAGAAGGTTAGCTGTGATTGGAAGACATGAAGATGCCAGGCAAAGGGAGATGGAAGAACATGAAAGACAGAAAGCGAAGAAGAAAACAAAGATGAGGAATGAATATTTAGAGGAGCATAGGGTAGCTTGTAGCTATTTCCATCCACCAAAGAGGAACGAAAAAGAAAATAGAAAAAGTTTAGTGGGGCGTTTTGGTAATTTAATGGCCAATGGGGGTCTTTGTCTAATGGCTAAAGTTCAGGGGGGTCTTTGTTGCAAAAAAAAGTACAGGGAGACTTTGTCACTGACCCCATATTACAAGGGGGCCTTTGTAATTTACCCAAAAAGGTAAATTATTGAAAACTCCTCTAAAGTTTCCGAACTTTGCTGAAACCTCCCCCAATGTTTAGTAATTACAATTACCTCTCCTAAGCTTTCTCATATAGTTACAAGTACACCATTTTGATTATAATCTTCTCACAATAGACATGAAAATGTCCAAAATGCACATGGGGTGACTATTGAAGCTAGTTTTTACATAAAAAGCAATACAAACTTTATGAACAACAAAAATAGAGAGTTTAAAATTGCAATTTTACCTTTAGGTGATTGATGTGAAGGACAATGTTGAAAAATAAATCAATTTTGGGAAGAGATTGGAAGGGTTTGATGTAATGATTAATATGGAGATAATATTTGGAAAATAAGCATTTTGGTCAAAAGTAACTGCATGGATGGACATTTTTATGCCTATTGTTAGGTGAATCTAATAAAAGACATCTACTTGCAATTGTGATAGAAGGTTCAAGAGAAGTGATTGCAATTACCAAACTTTAAATGAGGTTTTAACAATAGTCATAAACTTAAAAGGGAGATTTTGGCAATTTACTCATAAAAAGTAAATTGCTAAAACCTCCCATCCCATGTAACTTCTAACAATTGCAGGTCAATGCGTTGCTTTACGGTAAAGCAATGTCATTTCCTAAACTTTTCTTTTTTGACATTATTGCATTTACACCCCTTCCATTTTCTTTAACTATGAAAGCAAGCAAAATTACCAAAATGCCCAACTTTGACCGTTTGAATGGTAATTTGGCTTTTATGTTTTTATTAATACCCCTAAGTTTACTCCAAATGGAGAGGTGGCCACCCAAAAATTTTATTAACCATTATCAAAAAGGGTGTAAATCAAAATAGAGGAGGGCGTAGCCCACCTTGCCCCAAAACCCAACAACATTACCTCTCATCCCAACCCAACACAATGCTCAAAAAATAGAAAAATAAAAGCCAATAAAAAAACAATCAAGACCATTAATCTATACGATGAGACACAATACCAAGATTGTCTTCTTTAAGCAGTAATCTTGCCTCTCTTGGAACCTCATTGATGGAATTGTAAGCATAGAAGTTTCCTTCATTAACACCCTCACTAGCAAAGAAGTCGGCGCATTTGTTCCATTCTCTTAATATATGAGAGAAAGAAATGTGCATAACATCACATGTTTTATTTATTTTTTTGAAGGATATAAGTTAGATGCCAAGAGTAGGGAATTTTTGGAAGGAGAATGTCAATTAAACATTGATTATCACTCTCAACCTCTACCCCCAAAATGTTGTGAGGTAGGCAAATCTGACGGCCATCATAGAGAACATTAAATCCAAYTATAATAGAGGTGCTCTCACCATAAAAAATTGTGGAGAGTAAATAAAAAAACCCTATAATGTTTTTCACTGCACCACCTCCTCC